AGCGGGCGCTTACCATTTCGAGCTTCCCTTTCTTGTTTTGTAATTGTAGAAATGTTGGGTAAGTCTACTGATAGCCCCTTCTGGTTCGACCCTTCCCCTGACCCAGCAAATAGCGTGGACCTATCACACCTGGCTTCCCTTTCTTGTCTTGCAAATGCAGTTGATCCAAGGACTGTAAAGCGTTTCAATGCACTGTACCAAAATATGTACTCACTACGTTTGTAACGTTTAGTGCCGTCTCTGTTCCAGCCTTCCAGCTCATTCATTAGGACCTACAAATTCATAACATAAGTGAAGATGGGAAATTATTAAGGAGAAAAATGAAGTCATTATAATATTGTAGAATACCTGTATAAAGTCATGTTTGTGGGCATCTGAATTCACTGTCACTACCAAGGTCCGCGGATGGAAGTAACCAAAAAATTCAGCAAGAAAAGATTCATATCTTGGTTTAAATGAAGATTGTATTACCAAATTTATGCACTTGATACAAAGTGGTCCAAGGTTTCCTGGCTGAAATGTTACCCCCTTCATAGACAATGAAAAATAATATTCAACACAAAATGACTTGTCAAACATGAAAGGAAATCGAATTGAAAAATACTAAAGATGTAAGTACATACCTTTGCTCCAGTTGTGTCAGTTTCCAAGGACAACGTGATATTTTCACCCAAATTTTCAGCAAAAGTTCTCAACTCAAGCAAGTTATTGGTTGCACGAGCACCCATCTCAACTTCCATATGCCTTGATCCCACTATGGGACACGGGGTTTGGAATTTAAAGCTATATATTACGTTGAACAATTGTAAATTAGGAGTAGCTATGAATGCTTCGTCCAAATCAATGATGTTATTCAATGTCAAACTCTCTAATAGAGGACTCACAATTTTGATTTTTTTCAATCCTCTACATAATATAAGACATAAGGATTTTAGAGATGGGAATGTTGAGCAAATGTCATGAGGAAATGAGTCAGGAACATTTGTAGAATCTATATGGAGGAGTTGTAGTTTAGTAGAAGCGGACAGATCAAGTTTGGTAAAGGCTGGACAACACAAGTGAAACTCGAGGAGATTTTGAGCTTTTACTTCAATTTTTGTAATTTTTTTGCGAGTATTGACATGAAGCTTTTCGAGATAATTGAGATGGGGGACTGTTAATTCATTAAGGTTGTCACAATTTATCAAAGTTAACAGAACAAGGAGAGGACACTTGGGTATAAAATTGGAGAAGGTGTGCGAAAAAATGCAAACAGAATGAAAATACAACTCTTTCAATGAAGGCATTACATTAAATTTTCGAATAATATTCATGTTGCAATTTCCTTTTATATGGAGAATGGTTAAAAATTTGGAATCTAAAATTCCGGGAGACGCACAATACCTAAAAGTAGGTGGTATGAACAAATAAAGCTCTTTGAAACTGATGTTGTCTGCAGCAAGTTTAATAAATGGATCGACATGGTAGAGATCAGTGTCGGAGCATAAACAGGACGCATGACGGTCCAATTGAGAGGAGCCACAGTATCCACATGCTATCTTTGAAGAATATTTATGGACTAAATTGAGATCGTCATTGAATGATTTTATTATTTGTTGCCATTTTTTGGAAACAAGAGAAACTATTGGTCTCTGTTTCAGAGTTACACAAGACAGGATTTTCTCGATGATGTCTTCTGGTAACTTGGAAAATATTTGATCGGAATCAGAAAGAGTATCGGCGGCCATTACAAACAATGTAGGGTTTCGAACATCATTTCTAACATATATATATATATATATAGAGAGAGAGAGGAAAAGAGATTTAGGAAATCTATCATTTTTATGGAGGAGTTGTGTCTATCATAGAACTACACAACGGTTTAGGAAGTTGGTAACTATTATGTCTATTCAAAATAATAAAATATTAATAATAAATATATAACTTATAATTATATATTTACATAATTTTATTAAAGAATATTTGTCTGGATTGGGAAATATACATATATATCATCTCGCTTCTCTTTCATCTCTCGCTTTAATAGAAAGAGATCGTTTTACAAAAAAAGTTGCTACAAATTCGTGATTTGACAGAGAAATCAACAAGAGAAGTCGAGGAATGTTGAGAAAAAGTAAGAAAATGTGTTTTTAACTGCACATCTATACGTAAACTTGTAAGATGAAAACAAAAGAGAGAAGAAAAAGAAATGAGAGTATCCTGACATTAAAAAAAAACTTATATTTTCTGTGCAATTCTCAAAGTTCTTGGTCTTTTGCTTTCCTTCATCAGTTGGAGTTATAATCTTAGGCGTATTTATGTGTCTAATAATCAATTTATCCCATATTTATAGTCAAGTTCGAGAGCAAATTCCTAGTTTGAATTGCAATTTTAGAGTAATTTGATTGTCTGTCCTCTAACTAATATGATTAGGTGGTTGTAGGGTGAAAAGCAAGGAAAAGGAGCGAAAAAGGAAGCCATCTAAGAAAATGAAAATAGAAATTAAGTTGCTAAGGAGAAATGGCCAAGAAGCTGGAAAAATACATTATATGGGAGCATTTCCGCGTCGCGGATCTCGTAGATAAGTGTGGCAAACGAAGTGCACAAAACAATGAAGTGTGCGATATAGGCGCGTCGCGGAGGAGGAATGAACTTCTAAAAATTTGAAGCGAGGGAACAAGTCCGCATTGCGGACCTGGACTCCAGATTCTTCTCACGTGTTTTATTTCACATTTATCATTAGTCATTTTTTCAAAACAATGAGGAGAACGCGATTTGGGCTATTTTTGCTGACGAATTCTAGGGTTTTTCTTCTACTCTTTCATTTTGGTAAACATTTTAATGATCTTTGAACATTATTTTATGATGAATCATATTATGAGTAGCTAAATTCCCTTATTCTAGGGTTGTAGCTACGATTGATGGCATAATATTATTTAACTCTAGCATGAGACGGCTTTTCTTATGATTTATGCTTACATTCTAGATTTTACTATTTTGATGCCTCACCAACATTGAAATAAACTTTTTGTCCTCTCTTGAACTCGAAAGACGAATGGAGGGATAGATAAAAGAATGTGAGGAACGTGTTCATTCTAGGGTAAAAACATAGAGTGTTTCGGCTATGGAATAGAAATATACCTATAGGCCTCATTTGGTTAATATACAAGATTATAGTGTAATGCTGCGCGATTGGTTCATGCCTATCCCCACTCCACGATGTAGTTATGTTGTCAATGGTGGTAGGCGATTAGAGGTCGGGAGACCATGATCATAAATTCAACCTTGTGAATCAATAATGAGGATAACCTGTCGAATGCTGGCATAATTTTTATTATACTTGAAATCGATGCATGCTAAAAGCCTGGAATTTCTCCCAAATTGTGAAATCCCGTTTGCAACTGGTTTAATTGTTAGTAGTTAATAATTGAAAATTGTGTTAATGGTGTTACTTTAAACAGACTGTTAAACCTTTCTGCCACATAAGTAAATTTATTTTAGTTACAACAAAGTTAGTGTTTAATGATTTGAAGTCCTTTGGGTTCGATAATCCGACTCGAAAGAGTCACTGTATTAATTGAGCGACCATGTGCACTTGCGTGTGTATTTGGGCGCAACAAGTTACATCTTATTTCTTGAGATAATGGATACCAAAATGACTCCATTTATTCTGGCTAATCGAATTCTAAGGAGGCCTTCAACATTTGGAGGTGTTCCAAAAGGACATTGCACAATACATGTTGGAGAGAGCCAGAAGAAGCGATTCGTCATGCCAGTATCATACTTGAGCTAGCCTTTATTTCAAAACTTGTTAGCTCAAGCTGAAGAAAAGTTTGGCTTTGATCATCCAATGGGCGGTCCAATACTTTATTTTATTAAATTATTCATTTTCTGGGTTTTGAAGAACGACGACTTGGAGATCTATTTCATCAATTTTTAGGGTTCTTTCCTAAACTCTTTTACTTTCGATCTTTCTATGATACTTAAACATTGTTTGATCGAATCTTTGATTATGAGTAGCTACATACCCTAGTTCTAGAGTTGTGGCTACAAGATGATTGTAATCTATTAAGTTTTCATTGGTTTAATATCAATTATCATATGAATCTTTCTTATATTCTTGTTTTTCGTATTTCGTGACTGATCACCAATGAAATAAACACATTGTCCAAATTGAACTCGGGAGAGGAATAAGAGGATAGAACGTGGGAAATAAGGAGCATGATTTTCTCATAATAATTATGGTTAATTTGTATCTAGGATAAGGATATACCTAGAAACTATGCTTGGTCACTATACAAGAAGAAATCGTAATGCTCGATGCTTGATCCAGCCTATCCCTGCTCAACGATGTAGTTAGGCTGTCATTTATCTTAGGCGATTAGAGGTCAGGAGACCATGATCATACATTTAACCCTGTGATTCATTGATTTGATAGTTGATAAATATCCATTTTAAATGATATTAATTGCATGAATCCTGATAGAAGCTGCAGCCCTAGACTTTACCCAATCATTGTTTTTAAACCCTTGAAATTGAATCGCGTTTGTTACATTTTGTGAATTCTTAAAATTATAAAATAAATCACTTTGGAATCTTGATAACACTTGTGCTTAGCTGAAAATTGGAGAAATTAAGTGATTCTAAGCGTAAGTCCATGTGGGTATGATATTCGGCTCTTTATAAGAGCCACTTTAATACTTGAACGACCACGTGCACTTGCGTGTGCGATTTGGGCACAACAAGGTTTTGGCGCAGCTGCCGGGGACTTTAGAATTAGGAATTATCTGATTTTTTTATTTCTGATGTTTAATTGACAACTTGATCTTAGCATTTCATTGTTGTAGGTTGTATTGGAATTTCAACTGGATGACGATCAGGGATTGGTATCGCCTCTAGCTGAACTAGAATGATTCGTGCACTACCGAAGAAGGTAAAGACTACTTACTTACCCAGTCCCTCTTGTTGCTAGTGAACCAACATCTAAAGTAGCAAGATTTGAGCAAAAGGAACCTGAAATAATGGCTGAGATGAAGGTCAGAGACGTGGCAATCCCACATACCACCAATGTGACATAATGCATTTAGAAACCTGCAGCTGGTGGAAGGCTTGAACTGAAATAGAGTATGGTGCAACTATTGCACTCTAATGGGGTTGTTCACTGGTCTATCGCACGAGGATCCAACAGTCCACATCCAAAAATTCCTCGAGATTAGTGATACTTACACTCTAACTGGAGTAAATGAGGATTCCGTGAGGCTCACTTTATTTCCCTTTGCTCTGCTTGGGGAAGCAAAAATATGGTTAAACTCAGAGCCCGCGAACTCAATTACCACCTGGAATGACCTTGCACAGAAGTTCCTCATCAGATTTTTTCCATCTGGAAAAATAGCTAAGTTGATGAGCGACATTCTGAGTTTTACACAATAAGGGGGAGAGAACTTGTACCAAGCTTGGGACAGGTTTAAATTGATGTTGATGAGCTGCCCATAACATCCTCAATGTAATGAGGTGTTAGTCCATACCTTCATTGAAGGATTGGAGCCTAACACCAAAATTCTACTTGATTCAGCTGCAGGTGGTCAGGCTTTGGAGAAGACATATGCTGAGCTATTCACCTTGCTGAACAAGATTTCACAGGGTAACCCCGAATGGAACTGAGGAGGGGTCAAACTTGTGATACAAAAAACTGCAGGTATGCTAGAAGTAGATGCAGTGACTGCTTTAACTGCATAGATTGCTACAATGCAGAATATGATGATCACCCACTTCAGCAATCTAGCATTGGGACAACAACCCACACAGGTGAATGCAGTTCAACATCCACCAACTTGGTGTGAGATCTGCGGAGGTGGTGATCATAGTGCAAAGGTATGTGGTGCAAACCAAGATTCTGTTAATTTTGTAGGTAATGCACAACTAGGAGGAGGCCTTCAGAACTATGGAAACTCTTACAACCTGAGTTGGCGCAACCATCCAAACTTTTCTTGGGGTGGAAATCAAAATCAGGCTCAAGGCGAAAATTAGTATAGACCCCAAGGAAATGCACAAGGGTACCAACCACAGATCTAACGAGAGCAGCCAAATAAGTAGTCTAGTAACATGAGCAAGGAGGAGATGTTGAAAAAGATCATGGCTGATCAAGCTCAGTAAGCTGCTGATGTGTGAAATAATCAGTTGGCTACATAGAATCTGGAGAAGCAATTCGGGCAGTTTGCTAGTGCCCAGAACTCAAGACCGCAAGGAGGTTTGTCGGGAAACACTGATCCAAATCCCAAGCAAGTAAATGCGGTGGGTACTCACAGTGGTTTGCAATTGGAAGAGTTAGCTCCTAAGAAAAGAAACACTAAAGTTGTGATGAAAGATAGTGAACCCAAGGAGAGCGAAGTTGTTGTACAAGAAGAACGAGTGCAACCAATAGTGAAACCACCTCCTCCATTCCCTCAAAAGTTTAAGAAACAGAAGGAGGATGAATGTTTTGGTAAGTTTTTCTCTCTTTTGAAACAAGTTCACATTAACTTGCCATTGGTAGATGTTTTGCAGGGTATACCTAGGTATGCTAAATATGTGAAGGAGATTCTGGCAAATAAAAGGAGGCTGACTGAATATGAGATCATTGCACTTACTGAAGAGTGCAGCTCCAGAGTCCAAAATAAGTTACCCACTAAACTGAAAGATTCGGGTAGCTTTACGGTTCATATTACTATAGGGCAAAGCATTCATGCGCGAGGATTATGTGATCTAGGATCTAGTATCAATTTGATGCTAACTTCTTTGTACAAAAAGTTGGGGTTGAGTAGTCCTAAACCTACTACCATCATCTTACAGTTGGCTGATAGATCTGTTGCTAGGTCTGAGGGTGTTGTAGATGATATGTTAGTGTAAGTGCGATCGTTGATATTCCATGTAGACTTTGTTATGCTGAATTTTGAGCCAGATCCTAAGTTCCCATTCATCTTAGGAAGACCTTTCTTGGCTACTGGGCGGGCTATGATAGATATAGCAGCTGGGCAACTCACTATGCGGGACCATGATAAAGTGGAGGTGTTCGATGTGTACAAAGCATTAAAGCTGCCAGTTGTTTATGGAAAGTTATCTACCATAACTGTGATAGATCTTAAGGCAGAGGCTTGATACATTGCATCTAAGACCCTTTAGAGCGAGTGTTAGTAGAAGATGATATCTATGGGGATGTTGAGGCACAGGAAATGGTGCAATATCTTGATGTGGCACTTGTAGGTACATCCAGAGATCATTGGGAGCCTTTAAATAGGGTGTTGGGTCCTCCACCCAGGCCCTCCAATGAAGAAACACCCTAGTTAGAGTTAAAAGCATTCCCAGCCCACCTCAGGTATGCATTTTTGGGTGAAGCTAAAACTTTACCGATTATTTTATCTGCAGCATTGTCTGATGCACAAGTAGAACTAACATTAATCATTTTGAAGAAGAGAGCGTAGTTTTGGGTTGGCAAATGGCCGACATCCATAGAATTAGTCTCGCATTGTGCATGCATAAAATCTACATAGATGATGGGCATAAGCCGAGTGCACAACATCAACGGATATTGAATCCAGTGATGAAGGATGTAGAGAGAAAAAAGTGATCAAGTGGTTAGATGCAGGGACTGTGTACCCCATATCAGATAGTAAGTGGGTGAATCCAGTACAGTGTTTTCCCATGAAGGGTGGAATGACTATGCTAACTAATGAGAAGAATGAGTTAATCCCCACACATAATAACAGTGACGGGGTGGCGCATCTGCATGGACTACAGGAAGTTAAATGACGCCACTAGGAAGGACCATTACCCGGTACCTTTTATTGATCAGGTGTTGGATAGATTGGAGGGTCAGGAATACTACTGCTTACTTGAAGGCTACTTAGGGTACAACTAGATTGTTATTGCACCAGAGAACCAGGGGAAGACTACCATCAGATACGTTCAAGCGCATTCCATTCGACTTATGCAATGCACCGACGACATTTCAGAGATGCATGATGGCAATCTTCAATGATATGATGGAGGATTTTGTTGAAGTGTTCATGGACGATTTCTCAGTGTTTGGTGAGTCTTTTGAACTTTGTTTGACTAATCTTGACAGGGTTCTTGCCATGTGTGAAGAAACCAATATGGTGTTGAATTGGGAGAAGTGTCACTTTCTAGTTGGAGAGGGGATTGTGTTGGGACACAAAATCTCCGAGAATGGATTGGAAGTTGACAAAGCTAAAGTGGAGGTTATTGAGAAGTTGCCACCACCCATCACAGTGAAGGTTGTTAGAAGTTTTCTAGGCCATGTAGGGTTCTATAGGAGGTTCATCAAGGACTTCTCTAAGACTGCAAGACCTATGTGCAGCCTGTTAGAGAAAGAGATGAAGTTTGTCTTTGATGAGAAGTGTTTGCAGGCATTTGAGTTGCTAAAAAAGAAGTTAATAGAAGCTCATATTCTGATTGCTCCAAACTGGGAGCTCTCATTCGAGTTGATATGTGATGCCAGTGATATAGCGGTTGGGGCAGTTCTTGGGCAACGAAAAGATAAGATGTTTCAATCCATCTACTATGCTAGCAAGACACTTGATGTAGCCCAGTCAAATTATACTGTTACTAAGAAGGAGATGCTGACATTAGTGTTTACATTTGATAAGTACAGATCATACTTGGTGGGAACCAAATGTATAGTCTACAGTGATCATGTTACAATCCGGTACTTGTTTAATAAGAAGGATGCCAAGCCGATGCTGATTAGGTGGATTCTGCTATTGTAAGAGTTTGATTTATAGATAAGAGATGGGATGGGAACTAAGAACCAGATAGTTGATCATCTGTCTAGATTGGAGGATTCATCTCATGTGAAGAATGAGGGGCAGATTCGTGAAGAGTTTCCTGATGAGCAATTGCTTGCTTTGGACCTTGCTCAACTACAAAAGGAACCCCAATTACCAACAAAAAAAATTTGTTGGTAAATTGATCAAATTGGTTGGCAAATTGAGTTGCCAACCAAATGTCAACTTATATTAATCCATTGCTAAAAGGCTTGTCGGTAAATATTACCAACCGATTTTAATTTGTTGGTAAACTTACCAACCAAAAATCAGTTGGTAAACACCCAAAGATGTTACAAAATTTTGAAACATGGCCCTGAAATTTCCGTTGGTAAATTCACCAACTAATTTTTTGTAAGTATATTGTTAGTACCTTTACTAACGAATTGAAAAGGAGTTAGTAATTTTTTTTCTTCATTATTCGATTTCGTTGGTAATACATTGGTAATTATAGTAACAAATGTCTAATCGTAAACTTTTCTAAATACATTGGTAATTGGTTGGCAATTTTAGTAACAGAAAATTTATGTTGGTAATTTACCAATAAATTTTAAATACTTTTATTTTTTGGTTTCCCATCCGGTGTACTTTTTTTTTGGGTTTCCCATCCGGTGTGTGGTACTCACATTGGAGCCCAACTAAATCTGAATTCACGTCGGGAAGTCTGACATTGGGGGGTAAAGCGCTCCCTAACAAAGGTGACTCCGTACCCAAGGGGAATTGAACCCGAGACCTCTTGGTTAAGGATGAAGGAGTACTTACCACTCCACCACAACCCCTGTTGGTAATAAATTTTAAATACGTTAATATGATTATTTGTTTTTCAAATAAATTTACTAATTGAGTGTTAGTTTGTTGGTAATATATAATTCAAGTTCAATGTTAGGTTAGTAATTGATTGACAATATGTTCAAAATATTATTAACTGAATGATTATTCAATAGTAAAATATTTATTAATTTGTTGCATTTAAAAATCTAAGAGCACGAATATAAATCCAAAAATATTAATATCAATTTTATAAATCATATTTGAATGAAACAATGTAAAATCTATGATAACAAGTTAAATTAATCTCAATATGACACATGTCATTATATCAAAAAATTTAATTTGAGCACGTTTACCAAAAATATTGACCAAATCTAAATTTTGGCCAAAACTTAAAGGTTAAAACACCTAACAGCACAAACTAAAAATGAAAGCCTCAAAACCTGAACCAACCATCCTATTAGATATAAAAATGACCTTCCGAAGTTAATCACGCTGACACAATTCTTATCAGAGCACGTTTACAAAAAATGTTAAGCAAAGTCAAATTTTGGCCAAAAGTTAAAAGTTAAAACGCCTAATGGTACAAATTGAATATGAAAATCTCAAAACCCAAACCAACCATCCTATAAGACGAAAAATGACCTTCCAGAGCTAACTGCACTAACAAAATTCAAATTTGAGCATGTTTCCCAAAAAAATTGACCTAATTCAAATTTTCGCCAAAAGTTAAAAGTCAAAACTCTTAACGACACAAACTCAAAATAAAAGTCTCAAAACCTGAACCAACCATCCTATGAGACCAAAACTAAACTTATATGGCTAACCGCGGTGACAAAATTTCAATTCAAGCACAATTACCAAAAATATTGAGTAAAGTGAAATTTTGGTCAAAACCTAAAAGTTAAAATGACTAACGGCACAAACTAAAAATGAAAGCCTCAAAACCCGAACCCTCTATCTTATTACATCAAAAATGACCTTCCGCAACTAACTACATTGATGAAATTCTCATCTGAGCACGTTTATCAAATATATTGACTGTTAAATTTTGGCCAAAATTTATAAGTTAAAACACCTAACGGCACACACTAAAAGTGAAAGCCTCAAAATCCAAACCAACCATCCTATCAGATAAAAAATGACCTTTGGATTTAATTACGCTGACGGAATTCTTATCTGAGCACGTTCACAAAAATATTGACCAAAGTCAAATTTTGGCCAAAACATAAGATTTAAAACACCTAACGGCACAAACAAAAAAATGGAAGCCTCAAAACTTGAACCAGCCTTCCTGTTAGATAAAAAATGATTAGTATGTTTGTAAATTTTACCAATGGATTAATGATCGGTTGGTATATTACCAACTATTTTAATGATGTTAGTAATTTATTAACTACAATCTTTATTCGTCAGCAAAATTTCCAACTAATTGGATATTGGTTGGCAAGTTTACCAACAAATTACATTTCGTTACTAATTTACCAACACATTTATATTTGGTAGGTAAATTTAGCAACACAATCTTGCCGTTGGAAAATGTTTGGTTAGTAATTCATTGGTAATATGTTAATAAAGTATATAAACAATTTTTTTGTCATATTTACCAACCGATATATACTTCGTTGGTAATATTACCAACAAAAGGTGTGTGTTAGTAATATTTCAATTGGTAATCCATTGATAGAATGTTGCTAAATTTGGCGCCATTTTTTTTCACTGTATTTACCAACTAAAATACTTAGTTAGTAAGATTTGGTTGGTAATCTGTTAGAATTTCGTTGTTAAGTTTTAAAATATAGTTCAGTTAGAAATATGTTGGTAATTTCTTAGTAGACTACTAACCAACTAAAGTTGCTAGTAAAATTTGTTGGCAATTTGGGTTTTTTTTGTAGTTATATGCCTTGGTATGCTGACATCGTTAACTTTCTGACGAGTGGTTTATTTCCACCTAGGGCCTCAACCCATCAAAAGCAGAGGCTGAAGAATGATGCACACTTTTATATATGGGATGAGCCCTTCTTAATCAAGCAGGGACCTGATCAGATGATGAGAAGGTGTATAGCTAAACAGGAGGCAACACAAGTGTTGGAGAGTTGTCACTCTTCACTATACGGTGAACACCACGGGGGAGAGTGAACTGCACATAAGGTATTGCAATCTGGTTTCTTTTGGCCTACTTTTTTTAAAGATGACGCTATGTTTGTGAAGGGTTTTTGATCAGTTTCAAAGAATGGGCACCATTTCTAGAAGGCATGAGATGCCATTGAGCAATATACTGGAAGTTGAGATCTTTGGTGTCAGGGGGATAGACTTCATGGGACCATTCCCATTGTCCCGTGGTAATCAATACATTTTAGTAGCAGTGGACTACATGTCCAACTGGGTGGAGAAAGTTGCACCACCATCCAATGATGCAAAAGTGATTGTGAAGTTCATCCGAAAGCACATCTTCACCAAGTTCAAAACTCCAAGGGATATGATCAGTGATGGAGGCATGCACTTTATTAATAGTTCAGTGCGTAATTTGTTAGCTAAATAAGG